GGGGGAGGAGGAGGAGGATGAGGAGGAGGATGAGGGTAAGAGCTGGAGCTCAGAGAAGGTCAAGAAAGCCAAGGCCAAGTCCCGGATCAAGATGAAGAAGGCGAGGAAGATCCTGGCAGAGAAGCGGGCGGCGGCACCTGTGGTGTCTGTGCCCTGCATCCCGCCACACAGGTATGTGGACAGGTTGCTGTGAGACGAAGTTGTGTTGGAGACTGACAGCCCCTGAGTGGAGTAATAGGGTTGTGTTATCTTCTTCCCATCAGGAGCTACATAGAAAATTTTTTTAAAAACAACAAAAACAATTTCAAAAGAAGTTAGATCCAGCAGGTCACTTGTCTTTTACATTAGGAACCAGAAACTTCATCTGGCAGAGCTAACAGGTGTTTTAAACTGCCTTCCATTTTGATGGTGTGGTTTAAGTTGGGAGAAAAGATAGAATAGCCCCAGCCCAACAGAAGCAGTTGTCTGACTCTGAAGGGAAAAGTGGAACAAAAAAGGGGGAAGGAAACACGCAAGGAGTTGTGAAATGGTTACCGCCACAAATAAGTCCAAATGAGGGCTGTGATGTTTTTGACTTTCTCTTACGCTCTCTCGCCGATTTCCTGTAGCTTACTGCTGTGCAGTAGTACTGCATCTTAAAAGCCTCCCAGGCTCAGTCTGAGTTGGGTCTTCCAGGGTCAGACAGAACTCTGGGCTTCAGTGACAAGAGCACTCATAGGGGCCAAGCTCCCTGACCCCCTTGGGGAACAGGGTTTGGGATCTGACTTAGTGCTGGGAGCTTGGCTTCCTGTCCGCTGAAGGCCGTTGATGGCTCCATTTGCTTTTCTGTGCTTTAAGCCCAGTGTCACAGGCCTTTTTGACAGTAGATTTAGTCCCTATTCAGCCCCACTCAGAAACTCTCACTGGCCAGAGCCCCCTGTTCTGCTTAAGAAAATCAGGCCCCAAGAGTTTTTTTCTCTTTGCTCCCCTGCTTCCTAGGCTCAGTAAAATCACTAACCGCCTGACCATCCAAAGGAAGAGCCAGTTCATGCAGAGGCTGCACAGCTACTGGACGCTGAAGCGGCAGTCACGGAACGGGGTCCCGCTGCTGCGTCGCCTGCAGACGCACCTGCAGTCTCAGAGGAACTGTGACCAAGTCGGGGTACTGTGTCAGATTCCCTGTGGGCGCTAGGAACCAGTGCCGGGGGGGACGAGGACTGAGATTTGTGACTGTAGTTTCCAGTGTCTGAGGGCTTGGGCTTTTTCCTCCTTTAAGCTAACCCTCAAACCAGGCTCAGGATGCAACCCTTACAGAAATGCATTGTTCCTAGGTGTTCATCCATTCATTCACAACATGCACATTCCAAGCACCGACTGTGCAGGGCCCAGGGGACACGTGGGTTGAGGAGCTTCCACTTCAGTTGGCGAGCCTGCCAAAAAGTCACTCTGCTCCCTCCTTTGGCTTTACCTGCCCTCGATCCCAGTTTACAGGGCTCTCCTTCCCTCTCGCTCTCTCATCATCTCCTGATCTCCCTTTTGCGTCTACAGAGAGATTCTGAGGATAAGAACTGGGCCCTCAAAGAACAGCTTAAGTCCTGGCAGCGGCTTCGGCACGACCTGGAGCGAGCACGGCTGCTGGTGGAGCTGATCCGCAAGCGGGAGAAACTCAAAAGGGAGACGGTAAGGCTCCTGAGCCAGCTCTCTTTTATGGTGGGGAAAGCAGATCCGGGAAAACCGAAAACAGAAAAACCATGTGTCTCTTGGCCGGGAAGCAACAGGGGTGATGCTGGAGTCAAGTCTCCTAGAGCTCAGTGTGCTCTCAGGCTCACTGAAAGCAGAATGTCACAGGAGAGTGTGAACAGAATCCTAAATTATGTGATGCAGGTAGCTGGTGTTGGGCGTTAAGAGAGGGAAAGTCCAGAGTGGTCACGTAAACCTAGCTGCAGGGAGTGGAAGGAAGACGAGTTCCCAAATCAGCTGCAACCATCTCCTCAGACCTCTCTGCCAAGGGACTGGCCCAGGCCTGGCTGATTGGGCCTTTGTGTGTGTCAGATCAAGGTCCAGCAGATCGCCATGGAGATGCAGCTGACCCCGTTCCTCATCCTCCTTCGAAAAACCTTGGAGCAACTCCAAGAGAAGGATACAGGCAACATCTTCAGCGAGCCGGTCCCTCTGTCTGAGGTAACCGAATTGGACGAAGTAAGAATCCCTTCCCCTCACCCCACCTTCTTTCTGTTCCTCTCCCAGTTGGACCCCTGCTGCAGGTCTGGGCCAGGGACTAGGAGGGGGCCTTGAAGAGAGGGGCTGGTGGCTCTGGGGCTCCGGAATGGACTGGAGCCACATGCATCACCTGGACTCTGTCTTGTCCCTGTCATACCTCAAGGCCCAGAATAGGAGGCAATCTGCACTCCTACCCCAGAGGCAGGGACTGAGTCTGCCAAATGAATAATCCCAGGGCAGGAAGACACTTTCCAGGTGCTGAACCCTAGAACGGAGAATTTAGAAGGCTCAGCACCTAAAGAACCATCTCTGAAGCCCTAGGTCCTGACTGGCAGACTCTTCTCTCTAAAAGGTATAAAACGAGAAGCCTGAGGCAGCAGCCTTCCTATAAATGTCAATGATAAGTTAAGAGAGCTATAGGAATGCAAGGTGGTGGTATTTCCAGAGGATTCCTCTAGCCATTTTCTTGCTAAAGCCTCATATGGCTCTAGAAGGTAGATAGAGCTGTAATTTCATTACTGTTTTCCAGGTGAGGAAAAGAAGGCCCAGAGAGGTTAACAGACTTGCCAAGGTCACATAGCTTGTGACTAGTAAAGTCAGGACTAGAATCCAGCTTTCCTTTCCCCTGAGCTGTAGGCCTGCCTCTAACTGTGGTGGGAGGAGGTTGCTGGATACATTCCAGGGGGTGTTGTTAGGAACAGGGGTCCGGGGGAGTGAGGAGCATACCTCCACTTAGCTACACCTGCCGTGTCCTCCCAGGTGCCTGACTACCTAGACCACATCAAAAAGCCTATGGACTTTTTCACCATGAAGCAGAACTTGGAGGCTTACCGCTACCTGAACTTTGATGATTTTGAGGAGGACTTCAACCTCATCGTCAGCAACTGCCTCAAGTATAATGCCAAGGACACCATCTTCTACCGGGCAGCAGTGCGGCTCCGTGAGCAGGGTGGTGCTGTGCTCCGCCAGGCCCGGCGCCAGGCAGAAAAAATGGGCATTGACTTTGAGACGGGCATGCATATCCCCCACAGCCTGGCCGGAGACGAGGCCCCACACCATGCCGAAGATGGTGGGTGAAAAGTCACACACACGCATAGAGGCCAATGCCAGGGATGAACAGCTTTCCAAAAGTCCCCTCCTGGGAGCAGGCAGTATAGGCAGGAAGCAGCTAGGCTGAGCAGTGGCAAGCTATCCCCAGGAATGCTGTCCAGGAAGCCAGACTAGGTGAATGGACAGCAGTCCTCACCATTCCACATCTTGGTGCTGCTGTTTTACAGCCGTTCCTGGTGAGAAGCGGAAGGGAGAAGAGTGGGTTTCTTGCTGCCTGCCCAGGTTTAAGGGGCCCAGAGGGCTGCCCTGAGCCTGACCTTTCCCCCCATCCCCACCCCCAGCAGCAGAGGAAGAGAGGCTGGTCTTACTGGAGAACCAAAAGCACCTGCCAGTGGAAGAGCAGCTGAAGCTGTTGCTCGAGCGGCTGGATGAGGTGAATGCCAGCAAGCAGAGCGTGGGCCGCTCACGGCGTGCAAAGATGATCAAGAAAGAGATGACGGCCTTGCGGCGGAAGCTTGCCCACCAGCGGGAAGCTGGACGGGATGGGCCTGAGCGGCATGGCCCCTCCAGCCGGGGCAGCCTGACACCCCACCCAGCAGGCTGTGACAAGGACGGGCAGACGGACAGTGCCGCCGAGGAGAGCAGCAGCCAGGAGACAAGCAAAGGTCTGAACCCCATGGCGTGGTGGACCCCAAGGCCAGCCAGACTTTGACTCTGCAGCAGACGCTCGCCCCCTGCCATCCCCTGGGCAGAGGTCCCTCCTGCACAGCTAGCTGCACTTTCCCCTCATTCCCCAACTAGGGGCCTCTTAGCTGCCTCTCTGGCTCTTTGTGTGAGACAGTGTTCCCAGCTTCCTGCCCCTCAAATTATCTCCCCAAGTCTAGCTGGACTTACAGTCCTACACACCCAGGGCATACCCTGGACATATGCCCTTCCCATACCAGGCCCCTCACCAATCTCCTTCTCTCTTTCTCTGCTCCAGGCCTGGGTCCCAACATGTCCTCAACCCCCGCACATGAGGTGGGCAGGAGAACCTCAGTTCTGTTCTCCAAAAAGAACCCGAAGACAGCTGGACCGCCCAAGAGGCCGGGCCGGCCCCCCAAAAACCGGGAGAGCCAGATGACCCCCAGCCACGGAGGCAGTCCTGTGGGGCCCCCCCCAGCTCCCCATCATGGGCTCCCTGCGTCAGCGCAAGCGGGGTAGGAGCCCTCGGCCCAGTTCGAGTTCAGACAGCGACAGTGATAAATCCACAGAAGACCCCCCAATGGGTGAGCCTCTCCTTCACCCAGCCCCCCAGTAGAGTTAGCAGAGCTACCATTCTTTCCAATATAACTCCCACCTATCCCTTTATTTGCCCATAATATGTCAGTGCTATAAGGACCCTTAGGAATCCTTTAATTCCTTCACTTTACAGATGGGGAAACTGAAGCCCAGAGACACTGACCCAGCTTGATTCCCATCCAGGGCCCCCTCCATTGTATCACTTTACCTTTTCTCTTCTTACCCTTGTTGGGGAATCTCCTGCCCTTTAAGCCATTTGTGTCCTAAGGCCAATAACTGCCAAGGGAAGTGTGAGGGGTGGGGCAGGGCTGTGGCCAGCTGTGGTGGACACTGCCCAGCACTAGCTCTGCTGGCCAAGGTTGGAGGAATTTTCCAGCACAGAAGGGAAAGCCAAGCTCTAAGCCCCTCTTATCCCCAGTAGATCTCTGATCTACATCTTCCTGACCGATTCCTTCCCTCCTCCCCCTCCCCCCAACCAAGACTTACCAGCCAACGGCTTCAGCGGTGGAAACCAGCCAGTAAAGAAGAGTTTCTTGGTATACCGTAATGACTGCAGCCTTCCCCGGAGCAGCTCCGACTCTGAGTCCAGCAGCAGCAGCAGCAGCAGCGCTGCCTCAGACCGGACCAGGTACCAGCCCTCCAGATCAGGCCTGCCTCCGGGATCCCCTTCCAGATTTCCTTATGGGGAGTGCGGTGGCAACCATCCCAGCTTAGATTAAGGTGGCTCAAGCCAAAGGTTCTCTGCAAAAATAAATGGAATAGATGAGACTGTCACCATAATGGAACACAGGGGACCATCCTGGGTTAAGCCCATATTTTAGAACAGGGGGCATAAACTGATGCCTTGTGGCCTGGATTTGTCCTGCAGACATATTTTGTTTGGCCAGCATGTTTTTTTTTTGTGTTTTTTTTTTTAGTGAATCCAGAAGTACCATATAAAATTCCCAGTTTCTGTATTCTCTTTAAAAATCAGATCTGGCTGAGTACTATTCCATTGTATACATATAACCATGTCTTCAATTCTGACTAGTGTTGCCTTAAGATAGGGCGTCACTACTGCTAAGTCCAGCCCATGTCAGTCATATCACCCCCAAGTCCCTGAGGGCTGTGAGTTTGAAATTCTTCAGTTAGCCTCTGCTTTCCAGAAGTCTTAGCCCCTGGGGGCTTAGAGAAGAGAGGATACCCACCATGGCATTCCCCCTACATCTTCCCATCCTTTGAGTTGAGTTTCTGTTTTGTCCACAGCACAACACCCTCAAAACAAGGCCGGGGCAAGCCCTCCTTCTCTCGGGGCACATTCCCAGAGGACAGCAGTGAAGACACCTCAGGCACTGAGAATGAGGCCTACTCCGTGGGCACTGGCCGCGGCGTGGGCCACAGCAGTAAGTACGCCCGCCCAAAGCCAGGGATGCTGGGGGCTCAGTGTCAGGGCCTTATCAGCCCCCTGGCTGCTGATCCGCCCCCTCTCTCCCATTCCTGTGAAGTGGTGAGGAAGAGTCTGGGCCGGGGAGCTGGCTGGCTGTCAGAGGATGAGGACTCCCCCCTGGATGCTCTGGACCTGGTGTGGGCCAAATGCCGAGGGTATCCATCGTACCCAGCTCTGGTAGGCTTCTGCTTTTTTTTTGTCATACCTCTTGCCTTCTAACCTCATGACACAGACTCAAAATTAGCAGACTTTTCCTACTCTCTGCTGAGCAGCAGAACACAGGTATTTGGCAGATAGACACTGAGAGGTCCCTGGTTAGTTGCTCCATCTTTCTCTTTTTCTTCCCTTTGGCCCTTGGGCTCTGAAATAGTTCAGCCTGGGAAGAAGCCAAGGGTGAGCATTGCAGCCCTAGTTGTATGATAATCTTTTTCTGTCTCCACTTCAGAGGTAATCTGGAAATTCTTGGATAGGGTAAGCCTTGGGGAAGGAGACTGAACTAAACCAAGGTCTTATTACACCCTTAGATCATTGATCCAAAGATGCCCCGGGAAGGTATGTTCCACCATGGGGTTCCCATCCCTGTGCCCCCACTGGAGGTGCTGAAACTTGGGGAACAAATGACCCAGGAAGCCCGAGAGCATCTCTACCTCGTCCTCTTCTTTGACAACAAGCGAACCTGGTAAGGGAGGAGTGGAGCATTTGGTGTGACTCACAGCCACAGATGCAACTCTGGGTATGGGGGCAGGCTGCCAGAAAACTCCAGCAACAGACAGACTGGGCTATCTATAAGTCACTGGGGGAAGGACTTAGATCTTTGAGCAAGTCGTGTCCATGAGTCTGAGAGACTGAGTGAGCAGCAGCTGACAGACAGCTGTAGCTAGAAACCAAGTGACTGTGATAAATGTGGAGGTGGCTCCCCACCTAAAGTGGCTTCTAGACTTAGTGTTCCTACCTCTGCCTCCATGGTAACAAGACAGGGATAAAGCAGGCAGAATCTTTCAGGCTCTGAGTCCCTGTTCCATCACATTATGTATGTAGTCTTTTGCTCTTGTTAATTGTAGAGGATATTTATTGTCAGTTTAGTCTGTCTGGAGCCCACAAGACAGGGCACCTATTTCAGGTTAGGTCAGGGCTCCTTTCTTCACCCATAAATACCCTGTGGTTACCCCCCAGTGTGACTGTTGACTGGGCTTTTTCATCACTAGGCTAAGCAGTTCCTTAAGGGCATGGACTGCCTCTCTTGGTTTCTGTAATTCCCACCAGAGCCTGGCCCAGACTGGGCACTCAGAAGGTGGTTCTGAATGAATGATCAAGTGAAGAAGGCTGGTGCTTGTTACTTTCCTACAGATAAGAGATGACTCATTTGATCCTCACCTCATCCTACAGGCAGTGGCTGCCCAGGACTAAGCTGGTTCCTCTGGGTGTGAACCAGGATCTCGACAAGGAGAAGATGCTGGAAGGCCGCAAATCCAACATCCGCAAGTCAGTACAGATTGCCTACCACAGGGCTCTGCAGCACCGCAGCAAGGTGCAGGGCGAGCAGAGCAGTGAGACCAGCGATAGTGATTGATACTGTCCAGCACAACCCAACCCACAGTGCCCTGCCACCTCCCTCCTTCCCTTTGCTCACTGTCTTGGAGTGGCACCGGCCTCTGCACTGACTCATTCCTGGTCTTGAGGCCAGTCTCAGGGGAAGCTGGGTGGGGGAGGTCCCTCCCGCCCTGAGTGCAGCTGGACTGTACAGAACACTCCAAGGGCCCATGGCGGCTCCACGCAATGAGAGAGGAGGTCCCACAGGCCAGAAAGCTCCAGAGACCTCACGGCATTGTAGCGCAGGGTGGTAAGCCAAGGTTAGGACACTGCGTAAAACAGGCCATCCCATCACCTACGCCTGCTCGTGCCAGGAGAATCCCTAACCGCCTAGTGGCCTGAGGCCTCTGAGGTGGTAAGGTGAGGGGGCATCTGCCCAGCCTAGCAGTGGGATTGATGTCTGTCCAGCCTGGAAGAGGGGCACTAGGTGACCCCCTCCCCTGCTGTTGTAAATACTGTAATTAGCGGAGAATTTAAATTATTCTCATTTGTAACTGCGTTTCCGGGTCGCGCCAGAGTCATTTGGTACTAAAAAATACAGGGGCCTGTCCCCATTTCCCTTCTTCCCATAGATTCCCCCACCTTTCAAACTGGTTTGTATTTATTTCAAAGGAAGAAAATATATTGATTCTTAGAAAATGAATGGTCTGTTTGGAATTCTTGGTTCTTGCTTTCTGCCAAGGCAAAGAGATGAAAAGGTAGGTTCTGTCTCCCAGGGATGGTAAATAATTGGGCCCAAGTGGTTGCTGACTGCTGTGCCTGCTGCATTTATAAGATAACAGCAAAGATAATATGAGAGCTCCTACTTCCCATGCACTTAACTGAGTGGTAGACCCTGTGCTGAAGCACCTTTAGGTACAGTTTTGTATTATCCTTGCAATAATTGGGGCAGGGTAATAGAGTAGTTGTCTCCACAAAGACACTGAGGTCTAGAAAAATTGAGTAACTTGCGTAAGTTCCCACAACTAGGAAGTTACAGAGCTAGGATTTGAACTCAAGTTTGTCTGTCTGCAAAGCTAGCTCTTTAACCAGTATGCAGATCTGCTGGCAGAGTGTACTGCCCATTCTTTCATAAACTGCAGATGCTTCAAGTCCTTGCCAGTGGATCTGTCGTCCAAGTGCTGCTTCAGAATCACTATAGCTGTGACCTCCTTTTAGCTTGGGACCAAGCAGGTTTCATTCATTCCCAACCTTGACACCTTCTCTTCCAATTTAAACATTTATTGGAGAAATGCTCTCCAAGCGCTGTGGGTGTGCATGCCTACAGATGAAATGACCACAGGAAGCAGCTGTCCCGGGGCCTTGCAGCTTCTTCCAGGCTCCCAGGGGGCCCCAGCTAGGAGCTTTGGATGGGTGGGACACAAAGATAAATCAGCTGCCAATCTTGCCCTTGAGGAATGTGCAATCTAGTCATTCAAAAATCACTGGGCTAGAAGGGGAAAAACACTCAAATAGAGTTCTTGTCTCCTTGTTTTTTATTTATTATGTAAATAATAATATTTAATATGTAATAAATATGTAATTATGTAAATAATAACCAATAATATGTAAATAATTTCCAGAAGGGAGGAAATTACATAATCTTTCCTGGGCCAGGCAGCCGGCCCTGGCAACTGGGCTACCCCGGGGCACACACTGGTCCGTGGTCCTGTAGCCTCCCTGGGCTGCCGGGCCCTGCCCCTACACATGCCCCAGTCGGCAGGGGGGTGCGAGGCAGGGAGGCCCTAGAAGGAAAGAAGCAGCCGAGGCAGCCAGAAGGCGGGGACAGTCCCTGGACAGGACAATCCGAGGAGGCAGACCTCTGAAGGGTGTAGTCTGTGAGGAGGCCTAACGCTGCTCAGGAAGAGGCCTCGGAGGGGGCCAGCTCAGCGCAGGAGCACGAAGGCAGAATCCTCGGGCGCCCGACGCTGTGGAGACACCGCAGGGGCTCAGCAGGCCCAGAGGGGGTTCATGGGAGGCGGACTGAAGAGAGCGAGCATCGGCCTGGAGAGGCTCGGTGAGGAAAGCTCCCTGAGGTCGGCGGGGGACAGGACTTGGTTCTGCGGGCCGTCTCTGAGATGAGGCAGTGAGGGCTGGGGCCTGAAGGCGCGGCGACCGGACACCACGCCGTGCCGAGTGCAGACAAACCCTGAGGCCAAGAGCGGGCAGCGAGCCCGTCGCGCGCCAACCGCTGAGGCGCCAAGGAAAGGCCTGCCCACTCGCCGCCAAGCCGGATTCTCATTGGCCCCTCTCATTCCTCCGCGGATTGGTTACCTTTGGATCCAATTAGCCGGGCTTGAGCCCTACTTCCGGTGAGGGAGTGGTCGGACCCCGGAGAAACCGGAAGTGTACTCTCGAGCGTGCTTCCTAAATTCACCGCAGCTCAAGGGACAGTGGTTCGAGCTTCGAGACGGTGGAGGAGGGGGACCCTACAAAAGGAGAAAGGGCGGGAGGGTCGGGACAGGAGGTGGGACAGAGTTGGGGGGGACGGGGCTTTGGGAGACGGCAAGGGGCGGGGCCTGCGGGGAGTGGAGGAATTAAATAAAACTGGGCGGGCCTTAAGAATTAAGAGTCCATGACTTGGTGGGCGTGGCCTTGAGAAGCGTGGCCTTGGTGGGGGTGTGGTCTCTTGGCTGCGAGAGGAGCTGTTCTGAATGGGCGGGTCCATAATGGGGCGGATCCAGACGTGGAAATGTTAGCCCTCTCCCTTCTGCCGGGTAGCATGGGGCATCGTACTCTAGCCTCCGTCCCTGCCCTGTGGGCCTCCATCCCCTGTCCACGCACTGAGCTGCGTCTGGACCTGATTCTGGCTTCTGGACAGTCTTTCCGGTGAGTCGTCCTGGCTCCTGACTCCTACTACTGCAGGTCAGGGGTGCAAAGGAACGTTGTGGGTAATAGAAGGAAACTATGGGATACAAGAGACTAAGGCACGGGTAGTGACCCTGTTTACCTCCTATATAATTACGCAGGTAGTAAGCCTGCGCAATTTTGTTACTATCATTAAATTATATAATCGATGTAAAAGAAAGCATTTTTTGTAATTTGTAAATCAGTTTTGTATACGGAGCAGCTATAGGGTGGGAGGGCCCCAAAGCGTGCAGGAAGGGACTGAATGCTAGGTCTGCCATGTGCCTGGGGGCTCAGGTGGATGGAGCAAAGCCCTGCGCACTGGAGTGGCGTGCTGGCGGACCAGGTATGGACACTGACCCAGACTGAGGAGCAGCTCTACTGCACTGTGTACCGAGGGGACAAGGGCCGGGCTGGCAAACCCACACTGGAAGAGCTAAAGGCCGTGCGACAGTACTTCCAGCTGGATGTCAACCTAGCTCAACTGTACCACCATTGGAGTTCCGTGGACCCCCACTTTCAAAAGGTGGCTCAGAAATTCCAAGGTGAGTGTAGGGCCTGGAGCATGGGTTGGGGTGGTTGTAATTTGGTTAAGTTACGCAATTTCACCATCTGTAAAATGAGGATTATCTCTACCTCATAGTTTTAGAAGGATTAAAGAAGCTAATACATGTAAAGTGCTGAGATTAGTGCCTGACACATAGTAATTATTATTACTGTTATTACTGTCCTGCTGACCACCATAGTGGAGTGACAAGGAGATTGAGCCAAATCCTGGCTGTGTGACCTGGGGTTGGTGACATCTTTCATTCTTTTAAATGTTTACAGAGCATCTTCTTTGTGACTGGGGATACAACAGTGAACAAAACAGGCACAAATCCCTACCCTCATAGTGCTTACATTGTGGCTTCTTCATCTGTGGAGTGGGATGATAACCCAGACCTCACAAGATGCTATGAGGAATGAGAGCTCTAGTGTTGCTATCTCTAACAAAGCTGACTCTCATTCCCCTGGGATCCCCCTGGAGCCTTGGTGCCTAGGATCTGAGGATGAGAGGAGGCCACTCCCAACAGCAGATGCTTTCTGGTCCCCAGGTGTGCGACTCCTGCAACAGGACCCCATTGAATGCCTTTTCTCCTTCATCTGTTCCTCCAACAACAACATCGTCCGCATCACTGGCATGGTGGAGCGGCTCTGCCAGGCCTTCGGACCTCGGCTCATCCAGCTTGATGATGTCACCTACTATGGCTTCCCCAGCCTGCAGGCCCTGGCTGGTGAGTAGGTTGCCCCCAAGCCCTCCAACAGCTTTAAGGGTTTGTTCAGGACTCCCCTGGTGCCTGTCTCCCATCTCAGAGCTTCATGCCTTCCCAAACACTGCCTTCATCCAGAACCACCCTGCCTCATCTGATTAGCTCCAGGTATATCTCGTCTTCCTTATCTGTCCCTGAAATGTCAGCACCTGTGCTTTTTGCCCCATGGGTTCAATGGCTCATCAGAAAACATCTATATACAGTGTACAGTAGCTTGGGATTAAGAGCACACATTCTTGTCCCCAGGTGTGCTACTCCTGCAACAGGACCCCATCAGCAGGAGACAGACTGCCTGAATCTGAATCTGAGCTCTGGCACTGGACTTCTAGCTGTACGACCTTGAGCACATTATTTAGCCTCTCTGTGCCTTAGTTTCTTAATCCGCTGAATAGGGTAACAGTAGTCTCTATCAGCGTTGTCACGAGCGTTGATTAAAGGAATACACAGACTGCACCTAGCACAGTGTTTGACAACAATTCTGTATCCAAAAACACACATGTTTTTCCTTGCAGCTCTGTGGGGCAGTCGTCTTACAGAAGCAAGTATGTCAGTTGTCAGATGTGAGAAGTAAGCTAGAGGAAGTGCCTGGGGACTGTATAGCAAGGAGACAGCCCCCTCCAGAGAAGGGAGAATGTTTTTGATGCTCAGAAACCCAATCTTGGGTCTCAGCTTCCAGCTCAGTAGTTATAAAGACCTCCAGAAATTCATTCAACTCTCCAAGTTTCTGTTGTTTATAGAACAATTTTTATCCAGAAGGATTTGAGGGATGAATAAAACAATCATGAGGTAGGGTAGTATTATGGGTTAAGAGCACAGGCTTGGCGTCCCAGACCTCAGTGCAAGATCCCACCTCTACCATGTCTGTTCCTTTTTTCTCCCCCCAAGTTATCTTTTATTTATAATAAAAAGGTCATTTTAGCAAAAGACACACTGAGAAAAGAGTCGCTGTGACCCAGCATCATGTCCTTTCTTGAGCAAGTTTTTATTTGACCTCTTCTAAGCCCTCATTTTCTCCATCTGTAAAATGGGGAATTGTTGTCAGGGTCCTTGAGAAAAATAAACATGATAATGTACCTAAAGCACTTTGCTCCAGCGTGATACCCAGCACTTGATAACGGAAGTTGTTGCTATTATTATGGCTATTTTTTTAACATCATAAATGTGCACACCCTTTGGAAAGGTTAAGGAACTCAATGGGGGTGTTCCTCCAGGGCAGCAAGTCATTCTCAGTATCTGCCCCAATGCACAAAGCATAGTAGGTACTCAGAAAACATTTGTAGAGGGGCAGAACCCAGGCCTTACCCCTTTCCTTTGTACATGCAAGTGTCCTGGGGTCTCCCAGAAGGTGCTGAGGTGGGAGAGAGCTGCTTAGGAAAAGCATTCCTATGGGGTGGAGGGCTCACACACTAGCCTGAGGATAGGAAGGATTTGAGAATGCTTGACCCCTGCTGTCCTCCCCACCATCCCCCAGGACCGGAGGTGGAAGCTCAGCTCAGAAAGTTGGGCCTGGGGTACCGTGCCCGTTACGTGAGTGCCAGTGCCCGAGCCATCCTGGAAGAACGGGGCGGACTTCCCTGGCTGCAGCAGCTGCGCAAGGCCCCCTACGAGGAGGCACACAAGGCCCTCTGCACCCTGCCAGGGGTAGGCACCAAGGTGAGGCCCCAGGGAGTAGGAGCTGGCCTCACCACCCATGCAGAGAGTGGCAGAGATGGAGACAAGGCAGGCCTGAGAGTTGAATGTGGGCTTAGCTTCTGGAGGCAGAGCGGGAGGAAGAAAGGATACCAGCAGATGTTTTATTAGAGAAAATGCAGAGTGCTGCAAAGGTATAAGACATTGATTGCACTTTGAATGCATTTTTAGAAAAACCATTTGTTCAAGTACATATATACACTGCTATATGTATGTGGAAATTTCTTGAAGGAATTATAGGAAACTTAAGAATGGTTTCCTTTGGGAAGACAGATGAGATGTTTCCACTTTTCATCTTGTTCTTCTCTTAAAATTATATGTACTTATAAAACTTTTTGTTTAATATCAACAGGGTTAGCTATCAGTAAGATGATGGGAAATGTGGCATTTAGTGGTTTCTTTTTTATACTTCTGTGTAGTTTAGAAATGAGTTTTTGTTTAAAGAACCATTTTTAATTGGCCCTGAACTCCAGCCCAGCAGTAAATCTTGGTTATGCATCTTCCTAGCAGTGTAACTTTGGCCAAGTCACTTCACCCTTCAGAATCTCAGTTTTCTTGTCTGCAGAAAGCCAGCACTCTCATCATAGCTGCTTTTTAAATTATTAATAGAAAATACAATAATAGTAACTTCGGTATAGAGAAGGACGCAGCTGGCTTTGGGGTTAGAAGGAAGTTGCTGGCTGGGTCCTGCCATTCCTCCTCTGTGGCTCACTCTGTATCTATCAAAGGTGGCCGACTGCATCTGCTTGATGGCCCTAGACAAGCCCCAGGCTGTGCCTGTGGACATCCACATGTGGCAGATCGCCCAGCGTGACTACAGCTGGCACCCCACTACCACCCAGGCCAAAGGTCCGAGCCCCCAAGCCAACAAGGAACTGGGTAAGGAGAGAGAGCGGGATGTCAGGGCTGGCAGTGGGCTGACGTGGTGGGAAGGTCCCACACCTCTCCCTGAAGCCCCACCCTTGTGGATGGGGAGCCGGAGGGGCCAATTAATGTCACCTCATCACTTCTGGTTTAGGAAACTTTTTCCGGAGCCTGTGGGGACCTTATGCTGGCTGGGCCCAAGCAGTGAGTGTCCCTAGGTGTCCCTTCCTCCTCTAGCCCAGACCCTATACAACTTCTCCCCCAGCCCTGAGTCCAGTGGACTCTCGTTGCCCTGGCCCTGTCCCTCATGAGCGCTTCTAGCTCCCTACACTGCTGCCAGCCCCACTGGCCCTGAGCCCAGTGTGCCCTCACTCCCCTCAGGTGCTGTTCAGTGCTGACCTGCGCCAAGCCCGCCGAGCTCAGGAGCCACCAGCAAAGCGCAGAAAGAGACGCACGGGGCCGGAAGGCTAGGTGGGGGCACTGGACACAGGGATTCCCCAAACACCTCCCCCTCCACCCCCTACTTCTCTCCCCAATCCGGTCTTGTTGGAAAGAGGGCTCCCTGCAACTA